AAAAAAAAAAAAAAAAAAAAAAAATAGGTTTTTTTTTTTTTTTTTTTTTTTTTTTTTTTTTTTTTTTTTTTAACAAAACGCCTCCCCCCTCCCTGTGCGAGTGGTGCTGAGGTAAGGGGGTCAGGAGGTAAGGGGTGTATGACACAACTGTTAGTGGCAAGCCGAGCCTGGGGTCTCCATCTTGAGGCAGGGGTCAGGGTAGGGGGCTTGGGACGTCTCCATTTATCTTGAAGGCCAAGCTCCGATCGTTCCTCGAATAGAACACGTGGTATTATTTTTATTATTTTTTATTTTTTATTCCAAAAGGCCGACGGCCTTTAGATTTTCATTAAAAAAAAAATAATAATAAAAATAAAAAGATTTTATTCTCTTCATCTGAAAGGTATCTGGATTCGAACTTGAGAGTCTGTATATGTCAACAATTCCGGGGTGTGTACCGACTGAGCTTGGCCCGTTCGTACACGCACGTGGTATTAATATGACCATCCCTCCTCGAGAGTGAGGGCATACTCACACTAGGACCTTTTGCTCTAATAAGCTGTGGACGCAATTGCAGTCAGATTCATCTGGGTCTGGGCGTAAACGCAGTCAGATTCATTTAGAAAAGTCCTCGTGTGAGTATGCCCTGAGTGAGTGCAATATAATCCCTCGTCAGTGCGTTGCGCGTTCTGTTCGCAGGAGAGAATAACGGCAGATTAACTTAACAGGTGTTTATTACCAAAAAAAAAAAAAAAAAAAAAAAAAGGTCTCTACATAGTCGCTGTATCGCGTCGAACACGTTTGCGTTACTGTTTTTGTCTTCTTCAGGGCGTAAATTCAAATAAATTCAAATAAATTCAAATAAATTCAAATACATTCAAATAAATTCAAATAAATTTAACTACATTCAACTAAATTCAAAGAAATTCAAATAATATTGATATGCAGAGGAGATTCTACATTCCATTTTCCTCTGGCTGCTGTTTCCCTTTCATCATGGATCAATTTTAATTAGCTTATCTGAGCAGATCACTTACTTACCATATTATCTTATCCTGCTCAGAGATTATATTCTACCTACGGATTAATTACAATTTGAAAATTGGTAATTACTCCATTTATCCTGATCAGGATCCAGGGGCAGAGAGCATTCAATTTGGTCGCTCGCTCGATGATATCTGGGCTCAATGGATGTGGCAAGCAAGAGTAATGCCCATATTTTGGCGGGAAAAAGATTTGACCTACACCTTCTGAATCGCTCGAAGATTATCCATCTTATCCGCCACGGGCAGGCGCGCCATAATTTGGCGGGAGAGCCAAACTACGCTAATTACAGGATCAGGGAAAATTACGACTCAGCTTTGACAGAGGAAGGATGGCGGGAAGCAGCGATGCTAAGGAGGACAAAGAGAAGAGAGCTGGAAAGTGCAGAGCTGGTGGTGGTGTCCCCTCTTACACGCACGCTGGAGACGGCTATGGCGATCTACGGCGTGGAGGAGGGAGAGAAGATGGTGTCACTGACAGGGATGGAATTTCAAACGGCAGAGGGGAAAGGACTTGCCATCAACGAGATTACCAAAGCAGCAGCTATGGCTTCTCCTACTCTATGTCCTTTGGAGGGTGCTGCTGCCATGGCTCCTCCTTTCCCCGTGACAGCTATGGCTTCTTCTACGCTGGAGACGGCTATGGCGGTCTACCTCGAGAAGGAGGAGGAAGAGAAGATGTTGACAGCGACGGAAGGGGCAGAGCAGAAAGGATTTGCAATCAAAGAGATGAGCGAAGCCGCAGCTATGGCAGCACAATACCCTGTAGAGAGTAGTGATATTGCTCCTCCTTCTTCTCCTCCTTCTCCTCCTCCTTCTTCGCCTCCTTCTTCTCCTCCTTCTTCTCCTCCTTCTTCAGTGGCCATGGCGGAAAGCGGGCACGCAGGTGGAGGAGGAGGAGGAGGAGGAGGAGGAGGAGGAGGGGTAAGTGGCAGCAGCCATAGCTGTGAGAGGAAGAAGAAAGAGGAGGTGTATGTTGGAATAACGCGACCCTTTGTCTCTGTGGAGTTGTGTCGAGAGCGCCTGAGTCCCCACCCTTGCGATAAACGGTCCGCCATCGCTGAGTATAGGCGAAGGTTTCCCTTCGTCGATTTCTCCCAGATTGAGAGCGATGAGGACACGTGGTGGACTAAGGAGCATCGAGAAACGGATTCAGAGATCGGTACAAGGGCCTTGAAGTTCTTGGCTTGGCTGGCGCAGAGGAAAGAGAGGAATATTGCTGTCGTCTCGCATAGCGCGTTCCTCTTCGCATTGGTTAAGTTGTTCGGTAACGGCTCTTCTCCGGACGTTCGAGAGGAGCTGCGCGCCGCGTTTGCCAACTGCGAGATGCGTTCCGTCGTTCTTCTCGATCGCGGATCCAACAACGGTTAGAATCGATCAGGAGCAGCAGGCCGACCCCAATTCCTGCCGCCGAACTTCTCCCACTAAAGCGGCTAAACCTCTCTCTCTCTCTCTCTCTCTCTCTCTCTCTCTCTCTCTCTCTCTGTGTGTCTCTCTCTCTGTGTTCTGCTGCAGGTGCTGAATCGTTGGGAATTTCGTCGTGTCCGGATGGACATTGCTGGGAAACGGCATGCTAGCAAGGTCCATGTGTCACGATGTGTGCGTTTGCCAGACTCGAGTAGATAGAGAAAGATGAGAGAGCATATTCACACTAGAACTTTCTTAATTATTTCTGGATGTAATTGTGGTCAAATACATCCATGTTCGGCCGTAACTGCGGTCAGATACATTTAAGATAGAGCTAGTGTGAGTACGCCCAGAGAATGACAGAGGAGCAAACACGAAAGAACTGAGAAGAAGGGAAAAAAGCAAAAAGCAAAAAGTAAAACATTGGGGAACAAAAAGAAAAGAAAAAATAATAAAAAAAAAATTGAGTTTGTCGATTACCCCAGCGTTTGGCTGCGGAGGATCTCCCAAACAGCGAAATGCGCACTCTCCATAGATTTGGATTCCCAGCTGCATTTTCTAACAAGGCCATACTCACACTGGGACATTTCGCACTGAGCTGTGGACGTGATTGCGGTCAGATGCATGCAGGTCTGGCCGTAATTGCACTTCGATACATTTAGAAAAGTGAAGTGCTCGTGTCACCATCATTGCCGTAAGGGCAGTTATGTTGCCCCGGACAACCACACTGGCACACAGTTTGACAGTTGAACACTCCTCCCTCCCTCCCTCCCTCCCTCCCTCCCTCCCTCCTCCCTCCTCCCCCCTCCCTCCTTCCTCCCTGCCTGCAAGTGAAAGGTGTTATTACCTTTTTGACGTACAGGTCTGAATGACACTGACACAGGACACATCGTCTCTCTGACCACACCGAACGTGGATGTATTTGACCACAATTACATCCAGAACGTGGATGTATTTGACCACATGCATCCCTTTTCGGCAGCAGGCTGATGCAGGCTGGGAGGTGATCATTCGAAACTCACCGCCCCGGCTACATGCATCCCCCCGACTGCACTTGCCACTGTGGCCAAGGCCAGCCCACAATCGCAATTGCCATGACAAAACAGCTGAAAACGCGGGTAGGGGGGAGAAGGGAGGGAAGGGGGGAAGAAAGGGGGTTACCGTAAGGAGAGGAGGAGGAGGAGGGGGGGGGCGAGKGGGGGGGGAAGGGGTGGGAGGGGGCGCGGAGAAGAGGGAAAGATGCCGTTCAGGGGCCAACTGGCAGACGGGACGCGCCGACGCGGAGAAGGGGGAAAGATCCCGTTCGAGGGCCTGGTCCTATGGGACGACCCCCACGCGACCGCGATTTTCCCGCACTTTTTCTTTCTTGACACTGCTTTCCAATCTTGCTTTACTTCCCTGTGTCTTCTGTGAATTTCCCTTTCCAAACCCTTTGACGACTTCTTTTTTTTTTTCAAAACTCTATGACGACTTTTCGGTCAGCCGCATTTCGGAATCTCTCCGTTATTTATGTTCCCGTCCTAACTCTCTCTTCCCCTTGTCCTGTTCCTGTTCCTGTTCCTGTTCCATGATCCTGTTCCTGTTCCTATCCTTGTTCCTTTCACTGTCCACTGTCCAGTTCTCGTTCCTGCTCGGTGTTCCTTGCACCTGTTCCTGTTCCTGTTCCTGTTCCTCTTCTTGTTCCTCTTCCTTCTTCCTGCTCCTTGTTCCTTGTCCCTGTCCTTGTTCTGTGTTCCTGTTTTTATCCTTTTTCTTCTTCATAGTTCACACTCCTCTTGAGGTCGGAAACCAGCGTGGAAGAGGAGAGACGCGCCGCACACCCACACCCGCACATACAAACACACACACACACACACACACACACACACAGAGAGAGAGAGAGAGAGAGAGAGAGAGAGAGAGAGAGAGAGAGAGAGAGAGATGACAACAGGCAAAAACACTGCAGTCCGCCTTTACTTATGCTGCATTCTACTTTGACTTGTTTTCACTCTTTCTTCAAGTTTCATGGATTCGTTCCGCCCTTCCTCACAATAATTGTCGCCAGAGAAGGCGGAAGCACAAAGGGTATAAAGCTATAAATTATACATCACGAGACCTTGCGCGGGTTTTTCATTATCTAGTATATTTATTAATTTTCGAGATTTATTTATATTTGACTTGTTACTCGCAACAGACACCGACAGGAAAAGAACACGTCAGCTGTCACTCCCCCGGAAAAAATAAAAATATAAATCAGAAAGATTTGAGTAAACGTACCTACCCCGTAAAGATGAATTTCATACAAACCTAACTGCCAGTCTGCCACTGAACAACTCATGAATTTCAGTCCTGATTCATGCTGGCCTCAGATGGATAGAAATACCATTAGGAGCTAACCACCTTTGTACAAACACACACACACACACACACACACACACACACACACACACACACACACACACACACACAATTTTTTGGGGAGAAATTGCTTACCTTTTCCGGTTCTCTAAGTCTTCATGAAAGAAGATTTGTCTTCAATGGATTGCCGAAACAAAAGCCGAAGCGGCAGATGGAAAACCGAAAAAACAATCGAATGAAAATAAAGTCATTCTGCCAAAAATGCGTGGTCACAAATTGTTTTTGGAAGTTGGAAGGAGACTCAGTTGGAGTCTGGACGCAGTGGAGACTGGAGTCAGTGGACCAACACTTACGATTACGAACCAACAGAAAAGTCTCTGAACAACAACACTCTCTTCGCCTTATCAACCAGCAACTCACCTCTCTGCAACTCTGTCTCTCTCTCTCTCTCTCTCTCTCTCTCTCTCTCTCTCTCTCTCTCTCTCTCTCTCTCGCTCGCTCGCTCGCTCGCAGTATCTGAACGACTACGCAGTTCAAAGCACGCAGTCAGACGCGCCTTGGCACTGGCCACGCCCCAATACAGCTCGAGTTGCAACACGTGGCTTCTCTCTCTCTCTCTCTCTCTCTCTCTCTCGCTCCTTCTCGCTCGCTCGCTCGCTCGCTCGCAGTATCTGGGGCTACGCGTTTCAAAGCACACAGGCAGACCCGCCTTGGCAGTGGGCATGGCCCAATACAGCTTGAGGTGCAACACGTGGCTTGAGGTGCAGCTATGATAACCTTATCCGATTCTTGCACTCGCTGGACAGACACCAGCCGACACGTGGCGCTTGCAGAGAGCAGTATAAGACCAGCAACAACACTGCACATAGGAAGACAGCAGTCACAGCACTGATTGCCCTCGACATATGGAGGCCCTGGGGCTTCTTAACAGTCCGCCTGACCGTACCACAACCACCACAGCTTCAGACTTTATAGTTCCCTACCAGCTCCCCCACATCCCATCCAGTGACCATGACCACGTGCCTCGCCCCAGCAGCTCAAGACACGAACACGTCGAACAGTCACTGGTCTTTTCTCCCCCGTCAACGCAACGTAGGTCAACGCAATGCAGGTCAACGCAATGCAGGTCAACGCAAATTAGGTCAATGCAATCTAGGTCAACGCAATGTAGGTCAACGCAATGCAGGCCACCCCGTACCCTTGTTGGTAGTAATGAGGCGGTGTTGCCTGACGTAAAGGTGACGACCCTAATTTCGGATATGCCCCTTTGGGCAGAGCCCTATTGGCTGTCTGACCAATGGGTTCCTCCTACGGAGACCGCTGGCGGAGCCGCGTCCATGACACTCGTTGTGGCGACACAAACTTTAAGTCACACTTAACTGGCGGAATGTGGACGTCATCAGGACCAGGTGCCGACCCTTGCGACGACTCCAAGCCATCATGGTATTGTGAATCATCTCCCCCTGCAAATCGTTACCACCATGCCTATTTCCCTGACCCTGAATGTGGACATCATCAGGACCGGGTGCGCACCCGTTCGACGCAACGATTTCGCAACTTGAAGGCCGAGCTCGGAATCGGCAGCAGCAGCAGGATTGCTTGTCCAGAGAGCTCATGGGACAAAACCCCCTCCGTCTACAAAAAAAGGCAAAACGGGGAAGACGGGTCATCTCCTTCTCCTTATTCGAAGATCAATAATCTGTTGGACGAGCTAGGGGACACAGTGAGGAAGATCTGCAACAACAGGTTTACTCCAGAGCGGCGGCGACAGAGCGGGCCATGCTCCAGCACCACTCAGTCTGCTGCTAACCTTGGAGACTCTAGAGAGGAGGATGAATTACGCCCCGCGACGACAGAGCCCCCGGGGCCTACGTTCGGGGGAGGGAGATTCGCAACAAAGGATGATTGTGATTGCCACAACAGGCGTCGGCCTGAGCGGCGACAGATCGAGACGTCGTACTCCTTCAGTGCAGGCTGTGCAGGCTGTGCAGCTAATAATGATAATGACCTTGGCAAGGGGGTATTATTGCGATTGGGGTCAACGGAGACCCCAGCGCCGGTGTTTGGAGGAGGAGGGGGTAGATTTGCAAACTGCAGCGCCGGAGGAGGGGGTAGATTAGCAAATGATGATCGCAACAACATGTTTTCACCAGCGCGACGACAGCTCGAGTCTTACTCCACCAGTGTGCTTGGAGGAGGAGGGGGTAGATTGGCAAATTGCAGCGCCGGAAGTGGGGATAATCATAATAACCTTGGCAAGGAGGGATGGCGGAAAACAGAGACCCCACTGGCAGGTGCTCTGTTTGGAGGAGGAGGAGGGGGTAGATTAGCAAATTGCAGCGCCAGGAGAGCTGGATTAGCAAATTGCACCGGTGGAGGCGGGGCTAGATTTGCAAATTGCACTGGTGGATCAGGGTATTCTTTGGATGATAATTCTCTTCAATTTGGCTATCGCTGTGAAAGTGCAGTGAGAAATGAAATCGACGGACGACTGAGGAGACACAGAGGGGGGTGCGAAACAAGCCCACCCACCTATATTTCCCGGCGTGATAATGAACAGCAGAGGGCTTGCACAACTTGCACTCCCGCTCCTGTCGCTGACCAGCTTCAGCTTCATAATAGCCGTAATAATGACCAGATTCAGCTCCGTAATAGCCTTAATAAGAATAGCATCCTCCTCTCCAGACACACGGACATGGCAGACACGCAAATGGACTGGGACCGACGGCTGGGACTGAATGGGAATGGCCCCCAAGAGAGGACAAAGTCCCACTCCCAAGTCGGGACTGATTTCTGCAGTGCCAGACCAGACTGCAGTTGCTGGCGCTGCCGTCGATGGTCCCTTCTCACTCGTTCAAGGGGTTCGAGCCCTATAAGGGGTCCTATAAGGAGCCCTATAAGGGGTCCTTGTCAGCAGAAGCCTACCAATATTAATAGGTGGTGGGCATCAGAGGGGATCAGCAGTACAAAATGTGGGGCTACAGGAACGGATCGCCTGGCAGGCCTGCGCTACGGCTTTGATAACCCTAACAACGACTGTACTGACAAGAAGAAGATGATGGGGGGTGACCGTATTGGATCGGGATCGGGAGCGGGAGCGGGATATGGATTGTCATCCCGACGATGGGGGTGTCCAGATCCCGATGGAGAGGGCAGCAGGGGGCTTGGGCGGATCAACAAGCGAACGTGTGAAACCAAGACCGCAACAAGGACGTGTTTCGATCCCGACGACTACTGGAGTTTGAAAGGGGCTGGCATGTGTGAGCCTTCACTTTCAAAATGAATGATGTGAGTCATTGTGAGATGATGTGTCCGGATCCCGATGATGGCTCTTGGAGGTTGAGACGGGGCTGACCATGATGTGATGACTGTTAGCCTTTCACTTTTCAAAATGACGCTTGATGATGTGTCCCGATCCCGATGGCTGGCTGGCTGGCTGGCTCTTGGGAGCTTCGAGAGGGGCTGCTGATGTGTCTCGATCCCGATGGCTCTTGGAGACCGAGAGGGGCCGACCACGTGTGAGCTTCACTTTTCAAAATGATGCCTGATGACGTGTCCCGATCCGGATGGCTGGCTGGCTGCCTGGCTCTTGGAGTTTCGAGAGGGGCTGCTGATGTGTCTCGCGATCCCGATGGCTCTTGGAGGCTGAGAGGGCCCGACCATGTGTGAGCCTTCACTTTTCAAAGCGATGCCTGAGGACGTGTCTCGATCCCGATGGCTGGCTGGCTGGCTGGCTCTTCGAGTTCGAGAGGGGCTGATGTGTCTCGATCCCGATGGCTCTTGGAGTTCGAGATAGGCTGATGTGTCTCGACACCCGATGGCTCTTGGAGTTCGAGATAGGCTGATATGTCTCGATCCCGATGGCTCTTGGAGTTCGAGAGGGGGCCGACCATGTGTGAGCCCTTCACTTTTCAAAACGTTGCCTGATGACGTGTCCCGATCCCGATGGCTGGCTGGCGGGCTCTTGGAGTTTGAGAGGGCCTGGCCACGTTTGAGCCTTCACTTTCAAAATTATGTTTTCAAAATTATGTTCGCTGATGGCAGTGTGTAGAGGGGAATCATCAGCAAACATAGTTTTGAGAACATCATTTTGAAGACGTCAACCCACGAAGTCTCAGAGGCCCAGAGGGGATGAGAATCATCATGTGTCATCATGGGTGATGCGCCACAAAGGAGGGGGCCCCGAAAGGGAAAAGAAAACGAGTGCACCTTCCTACAGAAACTGGATAGATTCATCGGTTTGCTATGAACAGCAACGGTTGTATCTTGCGAGCTTCTGTGGCCAGATGCACTGGTTTGTTTCTTTTCCGTTTAGTTAGTGTGCTCGCGGGGGCGAGAGGGCCTTAGAGACCGTGGCCTATCCCCCCCCCCCCCTCCAGTGAGTCCTGTCCCACAGGGCCCAGAAACCACGTCCCTGACTCCCTCCTGCTCCTGGCCTCACTCAAAGCTAACATAACACAGGAAGCTGACTTCATTCAGAGTCTTTTAAGACTCTTCCAGTGTGGGGCGTGTAGCCCTTTCCAGGTCACAGTGAGCATGCAGGTGAACAATCCACAGTTCAAGGCCAGAAAAAAAAAAAAAAAAAAAAAAGTAAGAAACCCTGGGGGATCATTGATCAACAAACCTGTAGAGAATCTCAGTGAAGAAGAACTAGGAAGACAGAAGATGCATCGGACTTAGCTCTCGTCCAGATTCAGCCACTTCCCATCCTTTGTCTTTGTCATGCGGAGAGCAAATGCTGTTGCAGCCTTTCCAAGATCATAATCTGGAGAATCGGAGGCAGAGAGAAACAGACCTAGGCGCAGTGGATGGATGGCTCCTTTTCCAGTGATGGTGAGCACAGGTGCTGGCACTGCTGGGCATCATCGCTGCCATACTTAGGCTCATGCCCCAATGGTGGTGCTATGTCTGTGCTAAGTTAGCATGCACCCGACCAATGCTGTGACCAGATTCAAGCTTTGTGTCAGCACAGCGTTATCGACCGCGGAGTATCAGCTGGTCCTTCCTCTCCTGGGAATCTGTGATCACAGCATGATTCACATATTCCTCCTTCCGCGATGTACAACAGCATCATCATGCAGAAAGGGGACATGGTGGCCACCCCTATAACTCCTGTCTCTTATACACATCTAGATGTGTATAAGAGACAGGTTCTGTTCCTCTCTCGTCCTCTGTGTTTATGCT